TCACAGACTTACAGTCTGGTTTATAACTGAAAAGAGTCCTTCCTATGACGTCACACAAAACTTAACTGAAAATAAGAGTTTTAAAATAATATTCTTAAAATATATGGTTTGCAACACTTAACAGAGTATTGTTATTCCAAAATGTTATTTTCTATCAATTGCAAATACTGGTTAAACGTCTAGTATTTTCAAACTACAAAACAGATGCTGGGCATGAAATGGTAAGAAAGGCATATTGAGTCTTTGCTCTTATGAAATAGAAAAGTCTAGAAAAAACATTGATAATTAAAGAACCATTATGTATTTCACAGTTTTTAGAATCCCGAAGAAGCAAAAAGCTTGAGCATCTCCCATAATTTAGATAGACTTCAAGAAAGTGTCATAAAGAAGCTACGATCTGAAAGTTAATACTTGAATGATGAGGAGAAAGTGGGGAAGTAGAACTTAATATGACACTCATTTGAATATGGAGTAAATTAATTACACAGATTATACTGAATGAGACATGTAACTGTATTTTGCATTTTGTGTTAAATTTTATTGCCTCCCTCTACATTTCTTACTTTTTGTGACTTTGTACTGTTTGTTTTAAAAAATCATACATAGCCATGATGAAAATTTAAACCATAGCAGAAAGAATAAGGAAGAAAGTTGTTAGTCAACTGCCAAATCTTTAGGCAAATGCACTTTCAGTAATTCATTTATAATGTAAGCGAAACTAATGTGAAAAAAACAAACTTGGAATTAAATATCATGACAGTGGCAATTAACACCATTAGACCATGTTGTAATACTTCCTCCAAACTACAATACTTATCTTCTCACTGTTCACTTCCCAAGTAGCTATTTGCCTTAAGACTTCAGCCAGTAAATAAAGTTCAAGAACTGAAGCATCTAGTTTTTAAGTAGGTTTTAATCAGTGCATGGGAATATTCCAAGTACTTTTGAATGAAGCATGTTAATCATGATTAACATGATCTTATGTTTAAACAATAATTTATTTTTTCTTGAAATAAGACTGGAAGGTGAATTGATGCAATTATTATTATGCTAAAATAAGAAATTATAACATTGAACTAAGACAGAAAATCAATTAACGTAGTTACTTTTGTTATATTCCTATGAAATATTATGAAAATATACAAACACATTAATTCAAATAAAATTAAAGTTTGAAGTAAAGTAGTTGCAAAATAATCTATCAGTGTAAAATTAGAAACACCAAATTCACTGCAAATTATAGTGCTTATTATTGGTTAGAATATGTTGATAATTAAGCTAAAGTCATGCACTTAATTCCCGGATGTTCCAGTTTACTCTGCTTTGTTTTAGAGACGCAGAATGAATCACAATTCCCAGCTGTCTTGGAAGTGTGCATTATTGATGAAGAGGGGTACACTGCCAATGTGTGGACAGATTAGTCCAATTCCATTACAATGATAGCAAAAAACAATTCTGAGCACATTTCCCATAGAGAGTGGGTCAGCACAGCAGCTTAATTTTTATTCCAGTTTGGCACTAAGCAAGTGTCTCTTGCAGACAGATGCATAATGATAGTTCTTTGTAATGATGAAGATTTTTTTTTTTAAACCATGTAACAGCTTTCTAAAACAGGTGATTTTAAGACTGTGAAATTCTTGAACAACATAGCCAATTTATCCAAATCTTCCAGGCTCAAATTACAATGTACATTTTAAACGTTCTGATTTGGCAATGTTAATTTCTGACAGGTCATGTCGCTCAATATTCAGAAAGCAGTTAACAAAAAATGATGGAATTATTCATAAGTAAAATATTTCTCAATAATCCAAAAAATAGTTTACTTTTGTCTTTACAGAACAGTTACTTTCCTGTCTGTGGCCTAAAATTATTCCCCTATTTACCATGCCCTTGGTTTTTACCTGTCATGTTACACTAAGATCAAATTTTAAAAGTACCCTAAATGAAGTAAAACTGGAGCCAGGGACATGTTGTGATGCTGTGTGTCATTGAAAGCACTGACTGTACCAAGAGAGCAATGCTACTACCATTATCTTTAACTTAGTGGAGAAATGAGAGGCACAAGTATTAGAATTATGTAGGAAATGCTGAAAACTTGAATATAGTGATGAAAGTTGGTTTATTTCCTGTTAATATGTTTTTAGGCATAATGGTCCAGGCTTACAGTTTTATTAATAGGGACTCTGCTTAGATATTTTCAAGTAATTTAGTTTTTGTGAACTCACATGAGAATTTAATCATCCTTTATAAAGAAGGCATTTGAAATGGGTAAAAACTAAAACTTTTGGAGTGTTCACATTATATGCCATGCCCTTCACTTGACACTTTATATCTAATTAAATCCTCATTTTAAAACAACCTTATAGAGTGATTAATATCCTCATTTAATGATGTATAAAAAAGTTGTCCAAGGGCTCTAAGCTAGGATAACCCTAAGTTTTAAACAACTAATGTATATATGGACTTTTATCACTTAGTACCAAGAGATTTCTTTTTATTCCAGTCTCCAGTTTGTTTGTTTGTTTTCATTTTTTTGGGTGTTGACAGTACAATATTCAGCTGGATATACTACTACCTAGCTAGACAACATTTTTGCAGGCCCCCTTTCAGCCATATGTGGATATATAGCAAGATTCTAGCGTAAAGTACAAGTTGTGTCTTATTTTCCTTCCTACAGGCTGGACTTAGGCTATACTGGCAAGAACAGGGCAGCCATCTTGAACCGCAAGATAGATACTATGTCTTAAAAATGGGAGAAAACACGATATAAGGAAAACTATTCCCCAGATGTATCAAGCTGGTGAAGCAGTCTTAGACAGACTGCCTAGACATTTTTATTTAAGTTCTTATATTTTTGTGTATCTTTGTATTTTACATTGTATACGATGTAACACTTCCATTAAAACAGCCTGTATGATATGACTAAGATATAACCAATACATAACATTGTTTCTATGTTTCTTTGTAATTATACTTTTGATGCTGAACTTGAATAAAACTTATTCGATCTTAGGATGATGATCATCAGTTATGAAGACACTTTGCTTGTAATTCGGAGAATACAAAAAGAAATCAAACCTCCGTTTTATCCATTTGAGTTGTAATTTAAGAACATATTAATATATATGTGATTAAAAACAATAAAACTGTATGTAGCTAAACTTAATTTTATGTAATTACTGCACATTAAGAGACATCCACATACTGGTGACAGTAATAATATTAGATAACATCTCAAAACCACTACTCAATTATTTAAAAATGAAAGACACACACACACAAAACAACAAAAACAACAACTATTACAGCAGATAAAACAATGAAATAGAAATAATTTCAATAATGAATATATTACATAATGGAAGTTTCATATAGATAATGAAAAACCCTTTCTCTAGCAATGCTGAATCTTTTGGCATAAGAAAATGGCACAATTTGTCTAGGTGTCACACCTCTGAAAATAAAACCTATCCGAAAAATAGAAGTACCAGGCAGAAAGTAGGAGCGCAGAGAAAGCGCACTACAGGTAAAGATTGTGATGAAAATACCTCCAGAACAAAAGTACTGCTAAATGTCATCATGTAAAAATAACATGCCCTTTTTTTTCACATTAATGTCTCAATTATCCTTTGACTAAATTTACTTTAAGAGGCACCAACATTATATTTAGTAATCATTAATTTTAGTATTTGTAATTTTCCAACAATTGAAAAATTACCATATGCATGTAATACATGCATAATTTTTTAAAATTTTAAGTACTTTCCCTTAAGTTAGAAGAGAAAACTCTTAAGTTGCCCAAATAATATTACATTGAAATTAAGAATTTTTAGTGATTTCAGAAGGGAAATAATTGCAATTAATGTTTCGTATTAATCGAGTTACGTATTTACTAGGTGAATCATAAAGACAGCTTGTGAAAGGTAAAAAGGCACTAGAAAATAAGATGGTTGTATCAATTTTCGAGGCTATTTTCTATGTAAAGGCATTAAATATGCTAAAATAGGTCTACTGTTTTAAATTTAAAAGTATGCAATAAAGCTATTTGAAAACCATTTCATAGTTATTAACCACATCCTATTATGCAGAACCTTGTCATACCAATACATCTATGTTTACACGCATACATGTATAGCTATATTTATACCTAGCTCAGTTGTACTAGCGTATATGTGTATTTTTCCTTTTCTAGTACTTCCTACTTAGCTTTTTCCCTTTCTCAATAGGGTTAGATCAAGGTCACAGCACAACTACACATATCTAAGATTCCTGAAACACAAACATATTATTCTACTCTGTTTTTTGACGTTCACATTTTTCCTCTCATTAAAGATCTGCATGAATCCATATGTGCAGTGTCACACTTCACACTGGATTATACTATAATTGTCAAAGTGTGACCTTCACATTTCACACTGGATTATGCTATAATTGTCAAAGTGTGACCTTCCAAAAAGGGAAATAACTGTTTTTATAATAAAGCATATTTTAATATGTTTTTATAATGAATTGCCAGGTCGTGCCTTGCACTGTTCATAAATCTTCCCTGGCTTTCTGCCTGATTGCACACTAAAAATCAGGCAGAAAAGGCAGAGGCAGAAGCAGTGATTGGTAAGGACAGTTTTCTCAACCATGTTTCTGCTTTGAATAACATATAAAGATGAGGGCACTTCTATTTCAGTAGCTTGTAGGAAAAAATCTTGTTTGACAACTATGACATGCAATACAAATTGTCATAGTTTGGCTGTTTATAGCAGTTGGTAAAATGTCAGAGTTGCAGTATATATCAATAGCATATGATGTTACGTGTGTTCTTATTTTGTAAGACTGAAGCAAGAGTTACTTTTACTTCTGTAGGCGATCCGTTATATTTTTGGGGGAATATTTATTTATTTATTTATTTATTGACAACTATTAATGAAAGTGGCTTATAATAAGGTTTCCTTTAGAAACTATAATTAAATAAAGCATAACATAAATGCTGATGTGTACAATCTTACCAGGTGAAGATAAGGCATAGTAATGTAGATATTAAAATCAAAACTTGATTAAACATTGCAGACTGTGTACGCTGAATGGCTCTGTGTAGATCATTCTAAAATAACACAGAAAAAAAAATATTTTTTTAATTTAGACAAATGCTAAATACTCATGAGTTTCATTACATTTATTATATACATTTCATGTCAACTGTCCTCTACATATACATACATATGTAATCAATATATGTATTTCAAACAGAAATATAAGCATATTTCCATTTTTCCCTAGATCTAAATGTAACTTACTAAAGCTTACCTAGTACAAAGATACTGCTGTAAGAAGACCACCACAGCACTACATTTCAGTTTACTTGCTGTACAGACATCAGAACAGGTGTTGCACCTACTTTCCTAAACCTCTACCTATTAAGCGTGATCTCTGATGAAAAATCCTAATTTCAAAAGATCAGAAAATAGTATATTTAATTAAGGAAGAGAGAATAGATGAGTGAAACTACAAACAAAGCTCATTATCAGGAAAATAAATATAAATTAGCTCAGGCAGTTTTTCTTGAAAAGAAAAATAAAACAACCAATGAACAAATTTTTTGTAAGTTTAATTTCTTTAGCACTACAATAGATGTCAATTCAAAATATGCTGTACTTCTTATCTTTCCAATAGACAAACAGTAAAACATAATCTTCAGTGTGTTTAAAGTGCAAAAATGAACACTCACATACAGTACTCCTTGGTACTTCATTATAAATTTCTAGAAGGCAATTTGGTAATATAAGTAAAAACTCAGAAATACATCCTATCTATTTCAAGCATTAATTCATTAAGTATTTACCTAAAAATATAATTTCTAAAACCTAACCACATAAAAGTCACATGATATGGGCACCAATATTTATGTTCATCTTTATTATAAAATTATGATGCTTAGTAAATGAAATAATGAATGTTCATAAATGTTAATAACCAAATATGTAATAACAATTGTTACATAAATTGATATCTACGTAAATTTCACCAAATCCATTAAAACTGATTTGAAGAATAATTTTTCTTTTTTTTTTTTGAGACGGAGTTTCGCTCTTGCTACCCAGGCTGGAGGGCAATGGCGCGATCTCGGCTCACCGTGACCTCCGCCTCCTGGGTTCAGGCAATTCTCCTGCCTCAGCCTCCTGAGTAGCTGGGATTATAGGCACGCGCCACCATGCCCAGCTAATTTTTTGTATTTTTAGTAGAGACGAGGTTTCACCATGTTGACCAGGTTGGTCTCGATCTCTCGACCTTGTGATCCACCCGCCTCGGCCTCCCAAAGTGCTGGGATTACAGGCTTGAGCCACTACGCCCCGCCATTTGAAGAATAATTTTTAATAACATAAGAACTAGTCCACTACATACCAATATATGACAAAATATCCCAATTATAAATTCAGACAGACAATATCATTCCATGTATGGTATGTGTGTATATTTTTGCATGGAAAATATTAGAATGATATAAATTATTACTAATGTTTAGTCTATGCAATGGATTGACAGATTTTTATAATTTGTAGCATTTTTATATTCATTTATAAAGAATAAACTCTTAGTCTTAAACCAGTATGGCACAAGAAAACTAACTTCACCAATAAAAAGTACCTCAATGAGCCATTCTTTGTCTACCACTCACTTTGTCTACAACTCATTTAACCAGACTGTTATGAAGATAAATAACTATGTTGACTGATTAGGATTTCCTCTCTCATCCTTTAGTTTCTTATTACAGAAGTGTTAATGAACCAAGAAGCAAATCAAAATCTGGCATCTGGTGACACGAGATATGGAAATAACATGGAAAATTAATCTTAAATCAAAGGGGCAAAACAGGATTTTTTACTCTCAATATTTGTCTAATGTATCCTGTCCTGGTTGAATTACTTTTTCCATCAACTAATAACACAGAAATTAACAAGTAAGTTTCTTTTTTTCTGGTGTATTTTTATTCATTAGCAATTTAGGCAATCTATATTTAGTCAAACGGTACTTCTTTGGGGCAATTAAGATGGTCCACTATTTCTGCAATTCATTTCACAGGCCATGTTCTCCCACCTTTTGGCCATGTTCTTTCTTAAGACTCCAGCAGTTACCTGATGAATGTTTAGAAACATTCATCTGGTTGTGAATACTAAAATGTTATCCAAATATTCTTTTTGCCCAAAACTTTGGTCATAATGTCTGTTTAAAACCCAGTTAAATGGAAAATAAGTTTGCTTCCAAATAAGCAAAATTTTCAATGCAGTAAAATTAATAATATTGAGCCCTTACTCTGTTATGCCAGATAAAATATACACATACTACATATATGTATGTGTGTACACTGTGTATATAAGTATGTATATATACTTTCAATTGATTATCACAGCAAACTTGTAATGTGGGTGCTTTTCTTTGCAGATGAAGATATTAGCAGAGAAGTTAAATTATTTGCCCATCACATTGTTTAGCATATAGTGAACATGAACTAACATTTGTGGAATGAATGACTCAATGGCAATGTCTTACAGCAGCTTAGAAGTACTAAAGTTTGTGGTAAAAATGTTTTGGTCGTAGTGATAAACCATGCCTCCAAGCAGGGTCATCCTTGGGCCAAATGCAACTGCAGCACAGCTCTGAGTTCTGCATCTCTTACTCCACCTCTTGCTTCCTTTTCTCCTAGTGTCCCACCCACAACTCCGCTCAAGCAAATCGAGGATGACTCTAAATGAGGGGCTTCTGGCTCCCACATAGGATTTTAGGAAACCCCACAGATTTTCACTGAATATGGACTACCTATAATTAAGAGCAGTTTGACAAAAATCACTTACCTGGGCCCTCAAAAGCCAAGAGTCCCATTCTATATCCACAAACTGCCTTGGAAGGGAAGGACATTTGTACGGTAAAGATTAGCTAAGTGGCTGAACTAGTCCAAAAACCAATTAGGTTTTTAGAGACATTGAGAAATTCTGAACCATTTTTGTTTACCAGTCAGAGGCCTTACAAAGGTAGGAACTTGGCAATACAGAGGTTTTAGTTCTGTTAACTTACAAATTTATACAATGTACCACTTTAATTATTTAACAGTATTTTGCCAAAATGACTTATTTTTAAAAAATTAAATGAAACAATTTACTGTGACACAAAATTCATTTAAAAGAACTTTTAAAAGGAAACACTTGGAAATTTAATCACAGCTAAATTAAATCCAATAGTAGGAGTTATATATTATGGGAGAATATAGAATGAGAAAGTTCAAGGCTAGATCCCAAATTATCTTGCTCTGAATTTAATCTAAACATTAAAAGTAAGAAGTGTTATTATTTATCTTTTCATATTTGCATTTCACTTCCATACTTACAATCATATTTTCCAAGGCATGTTTGGCAAGCCAACAGTTCAGAAAGACTGGGACAAACAGATTTCTTAAGGAAGGCCAGAATATCTGGAAAACAAACCAAAACTAGACTTTTATCTCAAAGCAAGAAATCATACCCAGTAGACTTAAAAGAAACAGAAAAAAGTTATTAAAGAATGTGTAATAATTTAAAACATGACAAATGATATAAACTCATTATTAACAAAATACAAGGAATTGATACGTTCTTTCATTGTCTGAATCTTTCTTATGGAAATTATTGCAGAAGCAAAAAGAAAATAGTAAGCTCTCACCAGATAGCACATATCTATGCTAATTCTATCATTAATTCTTTTAGTGTGATGCTTTGTAATACATATTGGCTTTCTTTTCTTTGTAACTTGAGGTATTAATAGGAACAAAGAGGGAAGGCACTCTCTCTTTTTATAATGTTACCTCTTACTTTCTTTACATTAAACCATTTTAAGTGCCATTGGGAACTATGTTCAATTAGAATTATATTTAGGTAACCTGTCATTTAATCTACTTCCAGCTGCTTCTCTTGATAAATCACTCAAAATAATTATCAGAAGAGCAACAGCTCCAGGAAATATCTACTAATTTTCAAAATCTTCCAAATAAAATTCAAATAAAGTGTTATAAAGTCTAATCCCAACAGACACTATTATAACTTTATAAAATCATGATTAAAATATGATTTTGCAAAAGGAAAGTGTTGTGTGATATATTTATGGGACTGTAGTTGAATAGGATCATCATGGAACTGGTAACACAGCACTTTGAAAAGAAACACACTGCTAGATGTCTGCCTTTTGATAATCTCTTTGCTAAAAAGAGAATTTGGCTTAGCAAATTTTGTGGTGAAACCACAGACAAGTATTTTCAACATATGAGAAATTTTTGTAAATACATTTTCAATTGGCTTGTGTTTTTTTTTAAAAATCCACAATATGAACAATAAGTAGATAAGTAATTTCTAGTCATTTTTAACAATGACACTTGTCAAATGGCATCCCCAGATCATATATCTCTTCAAAATATTTCACTTTGCTATTGTACTAAATCATTACTTTCCATTTAATTACACAACACAGTTATCCAACCAGTTTTATTTTGTTGCTTAGTATCATGATTCTAACCAAAGTCTAAATTCATTTATCTTAGCTCCCATATTATTTAACAGTATCTAGAGTTAAAGATTCTACTTAAGTCTAAATACACAAAGGTGTTTTTTAAGGTTCTTTTAGGACTTACTGAGATAATGAAGGGAACTGCATTAATTATTTCCAAGATGAAAGGTATTCGTAAAATCTGTTCCCAAATGTTTCCCTTCCAAGAAAGAATGAATAAAAATAAAAGTCAATTATAATGAATCCTATTAAATGGGGAAACAGACAGCACTCAAAATTTCTCTAACAATAAGGATGTTTCCATTAACAGAATACTGAATATTACATAGAGATGTAGCAATGACTTTTAGAGATTATTTTTCTTAGTGTAATCATGCTCTCTCAATTTTATAAGTTTAAGAAGTAAAACAAATGTTCACAGAAACCATGAATATTGCACATAACATTTTTTAATCATGTAATATGTCATGTAAGAAAAGTTACCAGTAAAAATAAAACACATTAACAAAACCTACAAAATCAATTAAAAAGTGACATTCCAAACTTTTACTTACTCTAATAATGATATTCACTAATCATCAAGCACATAAGTCTGCGGAACATATTCTTGTTAACAATCATTGGTATTAAAATTGTCTTCACTTTAACAGAATTTAAAGGAGTAACTTTTTCAATTATCTAGATTTTAATCTTCCTACCTTCATAATACAGAAATATTAATCAAAACTAAATACATAATTTGAAGGACCCAGTACAAAATGAAAAATATGAAGCCTCCTAATAAGAAATTAACTATTTCAAGAAGGTAACAAAACATTCAACTAACCACGACGGCATTCTGGTTGCAGAGCCCCGTGCTGACCCTCATATTATGCACAGGTTACGTTCCCATGAAGCTGACCCTAACATTAATAGGTCACCACCGAAACTCTCTTGATTGGTGTCTGACGATAATAAGCACAGACCCTCCTAAAGCAGCTTATTCTTCTATGAAGAGATCTGTGTATTAGCAAGGCAATTTGAAATCTGCCATCCCTGAAATCTCCAATGATCCATTATAACACTGACTATAAAATTGGGACTCCTTAATTTTCCCTAAGGCCCCAAAGGCTAAAAACTACATTGATGGAATATACTTGCACATCCCAAAGCAACGTTCTGGAGCAGCTATTGTCTCTATGTACTAAGAAATTAATAGGTTTTACCAGCATAATTTATCACCCTCATCCAGGCTGTTTAAAAACAGTAAAGGAGTGTTTAGAAGAAACAGAAGCAGTGAGAATGCCTCCTTATAGAGATGTTACAGGTGTGGTGCATCTCATCACCCCAACTTAGTGAAAAGGGCTCTAGGGAACCACTTAGCTTGGCTCCAACATGGAGACTGTATTTGGCTACTGCCTAAACTTTTAAAAATGAAAAGATCAAAGAAACAGATGACTGGATAACGGCAGGCCAAAATCCCCAACTTTAAGGAAAGGTGGCTACTTTCTGGGAACCACATCAATGCCTCCAGCCTAAAGAATGGAACCTATAGTTATTTAAAAAGGGTTTACTCTCAATAAGATTGTGTACCTGAAGGTGAAATAGGACTTCAGCAAATGGTGGACCTGAAACGTCTGTGTCAGACTCCTAGTGGCTAGCCCGACACAGAGGCCTCCAGGAAATTCTAAGGCCCCAGACAAAACACAAAAGCTTCATATGGGAGAAAGGGCCAGAGCTTGTATCTGCCATATGGAGCAACCCAACACCAGACAATAACTGCCAGTCAGGCAACTTCAACCCAGAAACTGACTGCACTTCCTTCCTGTTCTTTCTCAGTCTTGAAGGGCATCAAATAAGATATTAAGTAGTAACAGCAGATAGGCCTCCCTATGATAATTCCCTGTCCCAGGTAGGTCTGAGTTGAGGACAGGCAGAAGCCTTCTTAGAGGAGAATTTTAACTGTTTGCATATATTGATCATAATTTCTTAAATACTAAACTGAGAAATGCCATATAAATGAACAGACTAGAAAAGCTACTGCATCCACCCAAGATGACATCTGATTCGCACGGATCAGACTGAGGATGAATGGTGTAGAAAGACCGATCTTTTCCTGCTACCACTGAATCAGGACTATTTAACTAACAAGAGTTATAACTAGTCTCAGTTAGGCCATGTTTTTTTTTACGATTGTGCAGGTTAATAATATCATTTCTTTCATCAGTTTTTAAATGGCATCTTTTCCAGAATGTTTATCCTTTGCCTAATTTTTTTCTTATTGTATTTTCACTTTTCATTGTATGTCTTTCTTTGGTGTCACTTGATTGTCCCCAAGAAGACACTGATCTGACTAGCAAGAAATGAGGGGTTTGGGAACAGTTGCTACTAGTGATATGAAAGGGTACTTCTGTTAATGCCCAGCAACATTAGTATGAACTATGGCACATTGCATGATTCAGTCTGTGGAAACAGAAACCTTTTATCTCTCCTGTAGTTCTCTTCATTTTCATTTATAACACATTAGCCTTTTACGATTGTTGCTATTTAAACAACTAGTATCTGTCTAGCTTGGGTTTGTTTCTGATTTTTCTTTCATATTAAAGCCAGAAGAATCTTTCTAAAATGCCAAATTCCCATTGCCAACATATTAAAATCCAAACTCGTCATTGTATTACATGCAATTTCACAATTCGAACTCTAGCTGCTAGCTTGGCTTGTACTTTAGGTATTTCTATTCCTATCCTGAACTCAACACAGATTCAGCCATACTCAATTTTATATCCATCTCTGAACACGCTAGGCTACTTTATGCTCGTATATCTTTGCCCACATCTCTCCCTTTGGCTGGAATATCAGACTCCCACACCTCCATTACTAATCCCTTTGGCAAGCATTTGTAACATTTCAGGGAACTAATTTTTTAAAATGCTTGTTGGGGATCAATTAATATCATGAATGAGTAAATGATATTCCCACCTATTTCATATATACTCTTACCTTTCTTTTATATAGTTGTTTTAGTTTTGGAGCTTAAGTATTTACATTTCTTTCCATTGGATCCAAATGAAATCATTTGAAAGAATGGCATTGTTTAAAACCTTTATACTTAAAGTAATCATGTATAAATGATTAAACTTGTAACTAGAGAGCCAATTGAAATTTTCTGGAGGAAATGATTCAAGAGTTCTTGCTTACATACCCACGTTAAGTAATTCTGTCCATGTTTCAGCTTCAACTTATAACCGATAATAAGCTAATAACTTCCAATATTGTATCAATAGCCCAAATCACTATTTTATCTCTTGAGATTCTGACTCAGATCAACTGCTTAATCCACAGTTTCACATCAATGCCTCAATAGCACTTTATATGTAGTATGTCTAAAGCCAAGCTTAGGATTTGTTCCCCGACTTATCCTGGAAAACCTTTTCACATCTTCCTTTAATACTATACTTACAATTATACTATAATTTATCAATAAGACCTACTAATTTATAAGCAGATCTTGAGATTTTCTAGTTCTCATTCCAGCCAATTTCTCACTTTTTGACCTGTTGAGCCTAATTAGCCACCACACCTTCATTCCTTCATTCTTGTCCCATTCCAATTCACCAACTGAGCTACTGCCACCCCCTGTACCCTTATGCCAGACCAGGCCTAGTATTCAGAACTAGACAGAAACAGAACTCCGTCAATATAAGGCACTATTTCATTTGTCTCTCGTTGACTTCTCTGCCCTGAAAGATAATTTCTTCTGCGGACTGAATATATAAGCCATATTCACTGCTTAGAATATGCCTTATACTTTTGCATGTAACTGTTCAAGAGACTGGTTAAAGTTTCACCTTTCTTTCCAACTTCACTTTGCCAAGTTAACTCATACCTGCCTTTCAGCTCTCAACCAAAATCTGAGATTTTAGAGACCTTCCTTGCCTCTTCTTCATATACCCCGTAGGCAGGATCTAACACCCACGCTGGCCTTCTTGATCCTCCATGAATTTCATTTACGTTATTTCTTTTCAGCTTGTTTTTATATAATTGATACATTACAACACTTTAAACTCTGTGAGGTTAAGGTCAGGACCAGTGTATTTCAGGATTGCATGCTCTGCTCCTAGCTCAGTACTAAACAGTCTGAATCTCCTAAATAAAAACTGTTACTACCTTATGTCAACCATGTACTGTTGATTCACAGCACATGTATACATATATGTGTGTGTCTGTGGACTAATTTTCGTGGCCTAAAATTGTACAGTGGGACAATGTACTGCTAAAAATGAATGCATCTCTTTTATGCACGGAGTTTAATTCTAAGATTTCAGGTTGCCTTCTGAACGACAAGATACATCCATAAATTACCTTTCTTAAAAATAGCTAATAAAAAATATATCTGGAAAGGATCCACAAGTTTCATTGGCCAAGAAGGAGTCCCAATAAGCCTTCATCACAAAAACCTAAGGATAAATGCTATTATGATGAAAAAAAGCCTTCATTCATACAATGCCACTATGTAAGAAAACCAAGAAATAAAATTGAAAGGCAAGCACAATGCCTTTCAATATTATATTAAAGACATTTTCCATTTAATCTGATTTTCATGAAGGACATTAAAAAAAACCTTCTTCTTCTTCCAAAAACTAACATCTTTAGTTTCTAAGTAGTAGCTGTATCTGCTCTCAGTGTGCAGTCCTCTCTGTGTTCCTCTCCTTATTGACAGGATTCAATGAAATATAAAAAACCTCAATCCAATTAGTCTACATGTAGTATGGACACATCATTTTTAACCAATAATAATGCAGAAAAATACGTGACTTTCTAAAATGCATCACACTTTTGCTTTTATCATCAAGAAAAGTAGAAACTTGGCACTACTACCTATGCAACTCTAAAGAGCACTTTAAAAATTATGTGTTACAGCAGTTTGTTTGTTTGTTGTGAGCTCTGACTGGGCCAACGAACATTTCAGAAATACTTTTTATTCTTAAATGTTAAGAATATCTGTATTTTAAAATATTTAATTAAAGGACTGATAATTTGTCTTCTTTGGATGGACTTTAAATAGTATAGTCATGCAATTAACAGTCTTATTTTGTATTTGTACATATAAACCCAACAATATTTAGATTTACCATTTTCAGGGCAAGATAAGCAGAATCAACATTATCTGGTATTCAGAAGTTCTGGACTAAATTCTTTGTTCTTTTCCAGAAATGAGCCAGTGTGGTGTTGAACTTTCAAAATTGTTGCTTTTTGTAATCTGGTTATAGAAAAAACAATTGCAGATTTAACAAAAAGCTTCTAGGTATGATGAATTTTTGTTTGTGGAGGTTTGAAAATTGTGCCAGAGTTTGTTTTTGTATCCTTTTGATTTAATGAATGTGTGTGCATAAATAGAGCTTCATTTTGAAAGCAGTTGATAAAGAATTAGAGGATATTTATGACAACAAAAGAATAAGAACTTTAGTGTTGGGTGATTACTGTAGTTGTTTTGCCAACCAGCTATAAACACGAATGGAATGATGATTTAAGCACAGACCTGTACTCCTGTATGACAGAAGACAAAATAAGTTCATGTCATGGATTTTAATTCATTATCTGCTAAACTCAACATGTACTTTAATAGTTCTAGCTAATTTCACTTTAACTTAGTCTGAGTTTCAAAACCTACAGTCTCAATGAAAGTTTAAACTATTTTAGTTATTAATGATTCAGTTATGCTTATTTTTAGAATGTCTTAATTTCAAGAATTATAAAGTGCTTGCATAATGCTGTATTAATATGTACTTAAATATTGTATACATATATAAGCATATGCTTCATAACTCTCTATAATTATACATATATAAACAAACACAAAAATGTCACATATGAATTTGCTAATATTACTATTTCAGAATTATAAGTATTAAAGAATAATATCAGCAGTGGATACAATTACTAGTGTAATACAATATTCATTTCTGTGTGTCTGTGTGTTACTTTTCTTTAAAAAAAAATCTAACTTGGCCAGGCATGGTAGCTCACCTCTGTAATCCCAGCACTTTGGGAGTGTGAGGAGGCAGGCGATCACTTGGCCCAAGGAGTTCTAGACCAGCTTGGCCAACAAGGCAAAACCCCATCTCTTATTTAAAAAAAAAAAAAAAAAAAAAAAAGGCAAGTATTAGCTGGGCATGGTGGTACACACATGTAGTCCCAGCCACTCAGGAGGGTGAGGTGAGTGGATCTATACCACCTAGGAGGTAGAGGCAATCGTGCCACTGCACACCAGCCTGCGCAACAGAGTGAGAACCTTGTCTCAAACAAAAAAAAAATCTAACTTGAGGGAAGGAGTATGTTTTAAATTCTGCTACCCAAGCATCCCTCATTTATAGACCATAAATAACTACCACTTACTTCTTTTACTCATTCTAAAAAAATTTTAGAACATTCTGTTGAAGGGACCAAAGAGTTCACAGATTTGACTATATTTATGAAAGGAAAAAAGAGGATAATTAACAGCAACCTACCTTCTACAGTCACATAACTCCTATTTATCCTATCTGTTTTCTCTGTAACACACTGGACTTAACTGCTGTCTACATTTCCTCCATCTAAGCCATTAAAGGTTGAAATAGAAATAATATTTATCATCTAGCTCTGAATGCTAGGTCTTACAATTTTCTGCCCTAATCTTATAAATTATAAGCAATAATTGATTATGAATGTCATCATCATATGATTGCAATGGAAAATTATCTTGAATATGTTTTCAAAATTGCTTTACAATTACTTCTAAGAGTTATATGAGCAAAACACTAATCTTAATTTCTTATTACATTTCAGCCAGAAGTTAGAGCAAATACATCTTCGAATGCAGATTAATATTTTCGCCATGTTGCAGTCCTGCATATACTCCTGTACTAGTGGAAGAGATAGAATTAATTTACTCCAAAATACACATGCCTAACTTTTAAGCATACCATTATTTATATATCACATTCAACATTTATCACATATGTATACATGCATATTAATGAACATTAAAGATAATATCTGGGACACTAATTTATTTGATTTTTGTTTTATTTTTCTAGTTATCCAGTATTCAGATTTGTTGATCCGGACCTATTTATAGAACACCTATTTTGACAAGTACATATACTAATAAACCCTTAAAAGACCCTTGTTTAGTATCTTCACCTATGTTGCTTATCATTGATTGAGTCTAGGTAATTTAGGGATGTGTGACTACCACGTGTAAGCTCTTTCATTTCCCTTCTCTAGCTTCCTACTTTATGTCTTCATGCACCACTTGAATATATAAATAGATAAGCATATACATCATCTCTCTCTATAGATATACATATATAAACAAATATTAAAAAGTTATACATGGATCTGCCATTAATATTACTATTTCAGGATTGTAAGTATCAAAGAATAATATCAGCAGTGGATATAATTGCTACTGCAATACAATAACCATTTCTGTGTGTCTGTATATTACTTTTCTTTAAAAAATTTAACTAGGCCAGGCATGGTGGCTCACCTCTATAATCCCAGCACCACTCCCTTCTTTATATCTTCAAGCACCACATTTCACCTTCTGCCCTCTCAAAAGAGAATGGAGACTTTCCAAAGCTAATCATTAAAACGCAGGTTTCTGTTCCAGCCTATTGTTACTTCTTATAAACTTTCCTTTAATATTTCACTCTTTTTTAAACAAATGCAGATGTTTTTTATCATGAAACAGTCCTCCTTTCTTCATCCTACTACTTTGAATAAGCACCTACCTCAGTCAAACAAATACTCCATTTAACAATTTTGACATTCAATTGTATACCATTATAACTGGATTACTGTAGGTGATTAGCAAATGAACTCCTCTCCTCAAGCTTCTTACACTTGACATAGCACATACGCTTTCATATAATACTTTTTATTCCTCAGACATTTCTAACATCCTGTGTCTTCTCGTAAATTTTAATCGATCCCCCTACAGTTTTTAAAGCTGTCATTCTTTTGTTTCTGTACTTTCTTATTTATCAACCTGACATTCTTAAAAATGAGTTGGTTTTTTAATATGACAATAATGGAATTAAAAAGAAAAAAAAAGTGAGCATAAAAACAGGGTGAATTTGTAAAAACTTCATGCTCTAAATTTAAAATTAAATAATAGTCTAAAGAATGTCATCTTCAAAACTCTAATGCTTTAGAAAGTGAGAAAGGGCCAGACCCAGTGATTCATACTTGCAATCCCAGCCATTTGGGAGGCTGAGGTCGGAGGATCACCCGAGCCGAGGAGTTTAAGACCAGCCTGGGCAACAAGGCAAAACCCCGACTTTACAAAAAAAAAAATACAAAAATTAGGTAGGTGGCAGTGTGCACCTGTAGTCTCAGCTACTTAAGAGACTGAGGTGGCAGAACTGCTTGAGCCCAGAGGGTGTGGAGGCTGCAGTGAGCCATAATCAATCGTGCTACTCCTCTCCAGCCTGGGTGACAAAAGAAATTGATGGCTAGATAAGATTTCCCCGAAAACATAACTTTAAGTATACTTGATATAGCAGATAAAAGGGCTATTAACAAAAATTGGTAATGATTATGACACTCAACCATTTTAATGACTTTCTAACTTTTCTAACTTCTCTGTCTTCCCTATTGCTCCATTCTTCCTCCAAAATCCTCAATTTAAGCATCTCCATCAACATAAGCCTTAGCTTCCACCCTGGTGATTAACTCATGCATAATAGACTTTCAAGGCTTCCTTTACTGCCTCTGTGAAAATGCCTGCTAAGTCTTAATAAATCTCTCTCTCGAAAATTCCAGATTCTTATTCTCAATTAACTGCATACCTTATTTCTGTATGTTCACAAGTACCTGAAATTCATCACCTCTAAAACTAATTCCATTATTTAATCTATGTGGACACCAATCTTTTTTCTTGATACAGTTGTTTTTTGGTTTTACCGCCATATTTTCAGTCATTGAAACTCAGAAACTACTAGAATGGTATGAATTTCCTTCTCTTCACTTAACTCATCAGCTGATAATTTATTTAGCTTCTCATCGTTTATTAATTCTGGCAATTCTTTTTATCCACCTAAAATCTTACTGTCAGTTTTCCTTTCATACTGCAATATATCTTACCTGAGCAGATACACTTCATAATAATGTCTATTTGATCTGAACTGCATAGAGATTCTAAGCAATATTCCTAAAACTGAATTTCAATTATAGAATCTTGTGTTAGTCATCTCCCATCAACCTACAATTATATGCTGCTATAAAATGCCCCCATATTCTAGCCAAATGTATTTATTATTCCTCCAATTTTACATGCAAAGTCCTTCCTTTATGCCTTTGCTCATTTTATCAATCTCTACTGTCCTGTCTTTTCATCTTGCCTTATGGATATCACTATGATTCAAGGACTAGTGTTCCCTTTTCATTCCATGATATGAGCTCTCTCTATAAAACTCCATAGTACTTTCTTTATACCTCATTGGAAGTACCCATTATATTATGCTTGTATTACTATTATTTGTATGATTTTCTGCCATAACCCCCCATTCTTGATTGTAAACTCACTGAGAAAAGAATCATGTGAAGTACAGAGTTCTTCATTAAATAAGAGCTCAATACATACTAGTTAAATCATGTTAGCCAAACAAAGCTTTATCAAAAAATAAGATAATTCATTAAAATAATTCCTAAGACATGTTTTTGCTTTCTCAATATTTTGTATACAAATCAGAAAAAAACAAAGTTGAATACGATAAAGTTGAACTATTCCATTTGCTTGCCTCACTATATCATGTATATAATGGGTAAGTAAACCCATAGGAACTAGCAAAGCATTTGTAAGTCATCAAGGAAAACATTATCAAATTAATACAGCTTTTTATCACCTACTGGAAAGGCTCAAAACAATTAAAGTGGCTTAAGAAGAGTCAGCCTTATCCTTAAGTGCAAATTATAAATAGAGGAATACTGAGTAAATATTAGCAATGTGTTCTATCAGCTGGAAAGTGCTAATTAAAATAACTTACCTTATAACTAAGATAACCAAGTAATATTGTTTCAAAAAGACTTATCAATGCCACGGAAACCTGAAATATAAGTTGTAAGTTAATGAGAAAACACGATAAAATTAAATTATATACACTCTTGGCCATACTACTAACTTTATTTAAATATATGTGCATTTATAAATATATGTGTGTATAATAGGAGTTATCAGGTGGCTTATCTTCTATATACAGATGACAGGCTCCTGGCCATAGTTAGCTGTCTTCTGTGCTACAGCTTAGTTTTCATGCATTCTAACACTTCTTAATAAACCATTTTTATTTATTATTAAAAATGTGAAGTTGGTATTAAGACAGACTGGCTGAAGTTTACAAGATATATAAAGAACAGCTTCTTTTATGTGTGTGTTTCTTTTGAAAAAAACAAATGCTTTTAAGAGAAATAGTGTCTCACCACGTCCAGGCTGGTCTTGAGGCCCTGGGCTCTAGCATCCACCCACCTCAGTCTCCCTAAGTGCTGGGATTACAGGCATGAGCCACCGTGCCCAGCTACGTGTGTGTGTGTTTCTAATACATACAATCGCAGCACACAACTGGCCACCACAGACAACTGCTCTATCCCAGAAGCACCACCATCTGTATCAAAATCAGCACTTCTCTTCAGAAAATATAGAAAATGAAATAATATACACTTTAATAGTATATTCAATCCTATCAGTCATGTCAAACAAAGTAAAAAGGCTGTACCTTCAAATACTAAACAAAATAGACCATACCAGAACTTCAAAATACTTTCAGATTTTATTTGAATGAATTTCATAACCAGTTCCCCTTGTGTAGATAGAAGTGTTAATCCTATCTTCCTATGTAGGCTTCTATCTTTCTCTATATTCTCTATCGTATATGCCATCTTTACTGTTAACTTTCAACAATATATTACTGCACCACAAAAAGTGACAGGAAAAGGTAATAAAATTATTCTGTGTTAAATATTCTAAGACTTTAAGATAGATAAATAGAATCAAATAAGCAAATGTAAACAAAAAGTGATTCAGGTAAACATATGTGTTTATAGATTTTGACGTTTAAGACTATTTAAATGAGAATAGCAGATACTCTGGAGATTACATTTTGTTTCCTATCAGGATAAAAACTTTGAATTTAAAAGAATATTAAAACATGAGAACAATAAGAAAACAGACAAAATGCATGGCAGTGTAAGTAAAACATGTTCAGAAGTATGTGCAGTAGCCAGGCATTATTATGACAGAAAACTCTAATCTCTTTTATTTTCTCCATAAATCCTCTAGATCATAATTACTCATCTTTTTTTTTGTAGAAGTACATGGTGTTAGATGATCTCTAGAACATTTTTAACATGTTACTTAAAGTACCATTTAAAAATGAGCATCATTATTATTTTAAATTATCACTATTTTAAAAAGCAATTTGAATAGATCAAAATATATTTGAAGATAATATATGGCTATTCATGAAACAGTTTATTTTAAATGTGCACTTAATTAAAGGGCAGGGTCAGATTAAAAGACTAATTTAATGAACATTTCAATATTTTAAGAGTTACTTATAAATTAATATGATATTGCAACAGAAGTCAAAGTAAGGAAATGTAAAAAAAACAACTTTAACAAAACAAAATACTAAGACAGTAAAAACTTGATTTCATGGTTATGATCACAATGCACAGATACTTAAAAAATTCATTATCACATACAAATGTACAGACTTCACAATTATCTTGTGAAAAGGCATCAGGAGTGAATATAGAATGAGAGATATTGAAGACTTGGAAGAGTGAGAAGGTAAGAAGGAATGGGTGATGAGAAATTACTTGATGACATAACATACATTATTCGAGTGATGGATATAGTAAAAAGCTAGACTTCACTGCTACTCAAAATATCTATATAATAACATTCTACTCATACTCCATAAATGCATACAATTTTAAGTAAATAAATAAAGTACTTTAAAGATTGTTCCTAAGCAGTGAGTCTTAAAGTCTTTCTCTTTTTTCTGGACTAAAGTGTCTTCCTACCTGCAATTTTTTTTTGATGTTGGTGATTCTATTCTTCCAATAATTTGTAATTTTTAAAAGCAAAAGAAAATAAAAAGGATCTGTAGTAAGTAAACAGAATTAGAGGAGATAGAAACTTATAAAAAGTTTGCTGGGCATGAAATTCAGTAGAAAACAAAACAAAACAAAGAAGTAATGACGACTCTAGGGAACACCTCAACAATATAAATCAGACATGTTGTGCTCTTTCATATTTCATATTCTTAGTCTTTCTTAAAGACTCCTTTTATGCTAGGGAATAGCTTTTATCTTATTTACATGATTAATTGCTTAAGAGCTAAGCTCTTATGGTGATATGAGTCATTAATTTGTTTATTCATTTAATAATTACTTATTGATATTCTACCGTGTTCCAGACACTAAGAATACAAGGTAAAAAGCAAACCCGGTTATGGGCTTTAATAAAGGAATGACATAACAGGAATACCTAATGTACTCTGGGAAAATGAGTGGAGCCTTACAGCACTAGTTTACTTTGGTTTTCTCCAAACTCTCAAAAGCTCTTTAAAATCTAATCCTGATCATGAGGAAATCCTCAAGAGGTAGATTGCAGGGTTCAGACAAACAAGAAGAAAACAATGAAAATGTTAGTTCAAGAGGTGCATGAAGATTAATCAAGCAGAAAGACAAACTCACTTTGAACATCACAAGCTTTCCAATAGTACTTTTCTGTGAATATGAATAAACCCAGAGATACAGGGATAAAACAAAATTGTACATAACCTGTAAGGCCCACAAAGGTAGACTTCTGTTCACCCAAAAGATATGAGACCTATAAAAAGAATAAGAAGTTACGTTTTTTTAAATGTGAAAAATCTATTCACTTTTAAAATTCAGTTAAAGTTGGAAATATTAAAATAATGCTAGCATAAAAAACAAAATATCAAAATTAATATCTGAAAAAATGTTTTTGCCTTAGTTTTCTTTTTGCTAATATTCATTTCTATTCCAGTAAAAACTTTTTAAATTTCATCTTTGGTCACTGTTAATAAATTAAAATATGAGGCATTATTTAAAGAATGGTAACGCTGAGCAGAATAGCCTCCAATCTTGTATTGGATAATTCTACACTGAAAAGTCACTTCATAGTCTTCTCTAAACTCTAAGATTTTTTAATTTTTACAAGGACATATATTTGGGTAATAAAAATTCAACAGTATAAATAACCATTTAAAAAGTCAGTAACAGAGTATACAACACAATGATATTTCCACTTGAAGTTTTGTAAAATACGTAACATACCACAAAAAAGTGTGACTGGGGTTAGCTTACTGGACAAGAGAAGGAGTAATCATCTTTACTCCTTAAAAATATTGTCTTTTCTGATGATAAAGAGGCTTATGCTCTGGAAGGAACATCATGACACTTAATATCCCTCTAATTATAATTTTCCACAATTTATAATCTAGCTTTCTCTGTATCATTTATTACACACTTGATTCAAATGGAAGTCACTCACAGCAATACACCCTACTCAGGAAAAATGAAAATAGTTACGCTTTCCCGAAGAGAAGCAGGTGAATGGTAGTTTTTCACATCTCAGTAAATGTTGCCAAATCCCATTTTATTTGGTCACCCAAAATTTGAGCATCCTTTTAGATACTTTCTTCTCCTGCATCTTTAAATACTAAATTCGCTAGCCACCAAAATTTTTCAACCATTCCCACCAAATATCTGCAGAATTCACCTGCTTCTCTTCATGCCCACTACCAAATATCACCTTATTGCAAGCTACCATTTCTCACAACTGAATGCTTGCAAAAACCTAGCAGTGGGAACCCTGCACCTTTATTTACCTTCTACCATTTTTCTCCAAGTTGTAAATACACTGATTCTTTCAAAATTCATTTTAGATCACATTACCCTATTCACTGCCTTAGAACTTTTGTTAGAATAAAGATCAAAACAATGACATGGCAGTCTTAGACTTACTCAAGCAGACACACTCCTTCCTACTACAAGTCTTTTTTATGTTCTGTCCTCTCATCCTAGAAGTCTCAGCTAGAAGTCTCCCTGTGTCTCAGGGCAACCCTCTCTGTGGATTCCACTTGATCAACTTTGTCAACTAATCCCCTGGGCCATGTCACCCATCACACCCTTCCTGTCACTCATCTCAGTGAAAGCTATATATTTGTTTGTAAATGTATTTCTTTAATGGCTGTCTCTTCACAAGTACAAGTTCCGTAAGACAACATAACCTATTTTACTCGCCATTAAAAACCCAATGCATTGCTAAGTATACGCATATGTTAAACTAGGCAACCAATAATCTAAGATAAATGGTGCCAATAAAGGAAAAGAAACAGCTTATGGACTCAGTGTCCTTTCTAAGAAAACTTTTATATTCTGAGTAACATTTAAGAAATCAGGCTACAACAAGGTGTATCAGTGAAGAGGGATATATGCCCAGTTTTGCAAATGGAAAAATTATGTGCTACAAAAGCCACTAAATTCTCAAGTAGAGAGCAATGCCTGCAAAATTATAAAATCAGTTGCTAAGCAGAAGTGCATGAGCACTTTCAAAGAAAAATTGGTAATTAACATAGACTATTAAAATATGCTTGACTTTTTAATAATCGCTGCTTTTACTGGCCTGAGATGGTATCACATTATGGTTTTGATTTGCAATTCTCTAACGATCAGTGATATTGAGCTTTTTTTCATATGTTCTTTGACTGCATAAATGTCTTCTTTTGAGAAGTATTTGTTCATAAAGTTTGCCTAGTTTTTTATGGGGTTGTTTGGTTTTTTCTTGTAAATATTTTTAAGTTCCTTGTAAATTCTAGATCTTAGACCTGTGTCAGATGGGTAGATTACAAAAATTTTCTCCCATTCTGTAGGCTGTCCATTTACTCTGACGATAGTTTCTCTTGCTGTGCACAAGCTCTTTAGTTTAATAAGATCTCATTTGTCAATTTTGGCTTTTGTTGCAATTGCTTTTGGTATTTTTATCATGAAGTCTTTGCTCACACCTATGTCCTGAATGGTTTTGCCTAGGTTTTCTTCCAGGTTTTCATGGTGCTGGGTTTTACATTTAATCTTTAATCCATCTTGAGTTAATTTTCGTATAAGGTATAAAGAAGCAACAAGAAGGGAATTAAAGTAGCAGATGCATGCATCATCATCAAGTAAAACAACAACATTAAAATTGAGGAAAAAGTCATTAAAATATTGTTCTAAGTCAACCAGTATGTATGTATTATGTATATGTCTGAATATACAGAGAATCTGTAAAATGTCTTTAAAATGCCTCATTCTAGGTATTGTGATCTCAGATAATTTTTACTTCCTTGCCATATATATCTACATTGTAATACGAATGAACCATTTTAAATGATAAAACACACAAATTCTCCTTTTCAAAAATATAAAAAATTAAATAACAAATACAAACCAAAACCCAAATATATATCATTTAGCTATTCTGAATTAGACTATCCTGTTGATAAAATTCACGTATGAAGCATAATTATGAAAACTAGAGATACCATACCAAATGGAAGAAAAAGCAAAAGTTAAATATAGAAACTTAATAACGTAGCCTCAGCCACTTTTTACAGAACATATATGAACTATCTTAAAAGTAGGAAAATAGATGGTAAAACTGTGAGAACAGCTGTGGCAGAGGAGGTGAGGGTCAGGGGTAAATACTTTTAGCAGAAAAAACAAAGCATTTAAAAGTAATAGGGTTAACATGCAGGACATATATAATTCACATACAAGGATATGCTGCTCACAAACCCAAGATGAACTCAAAGACTGATAGCACTCCAAAAAAACCCACAAAAAACTAATGTAAGTTTGTAATGTACTAACAAATAATAAACAAATAAAACAAGGGGTAAATTATACAACTCTCCTAGCCATAATACACACTAAAATATCAGTGCTGGATATGATACTAAGCCCACATTTCAAGACAAACATAAAATATTTAATACACATCCAAAAACTAGGTGAGCAAGATATAAAAGCATATGAGTCTTGCCAATATGTTGGAAAGACTTTTCAGTATTTGAATCCTTTCAAAACACTGAAAACTTTTAACCCCAGGTTAGACAACCATCAAGGGTGTTATAGAGAAGACAGATAACTAATTCTTTGAAAGAATGGACAGTAAGGGTGCTTCCACCAGATATAACATTAGCTGTGACAGAGTTGGCTTTAACATTCCTTCTCCCCCTTCCATGGCATACAGTCAAGGGCAAAAAAAGCCACTCTTGAGTTGACTACATTTCCTCAGTCTTTGTGTCAAGGTATGACGATATAACTGGTTCTCACGTGGGATCTGAATAGGAAGTACAAGTAAAAGTGATGTTTGTCATTTGTTGGCCAATAATTTTTAAAAGGATATATGCCTTCTCCAAGCTCTCTTTCTCTTTCTGAAAGCTGGATGCAAAAAATCGCAGTCTTAGGACAACACATATACCACAAAATTCAGGGGGCTTGTACCTCTAATACCTACCACGTTATGGGTGTGTGTGTGTGTGTGTGTGTGTGTGTGTGTGTGTGTGTGTGTGTGTTTGCATATGTGAATCATTTTATGGAGAAAAGCTTCACAATGACCAAAAGTTTAAGTGTTAGACACCAGTAAACAAAAAGTGCTTTTAAATTTTTGAGATTTGTTAAAGAACGTAGTCCTACTTGAATCTAAAAAATAATCAATATACATAAAAGAAGAAAAGGTCTACATTAAAATATTCATTCCTATTGATCCTCAAATATTTAAGAGCTATTGTCAAATTTCTATTTCTTCCTTTAACAGCTGTTACCCTGAGAAAGAAATATTATTTAAAATTTGAATTTCACTTAAACACTGTTTGTTATACTAGGCATTGATTTTAAATGCAATCCAAATACCATTAAATATAAACCTGTTCACGTGCTTCTTACCTGTGTCTCTATCACATCATGTTAAAAACTACCATTTCAGCCATTTTTAAAGTGGAAACAGACGCACAAGTTTTGACACAGTGATGAACTGTAAGCTTCAGCAGACAAGGAGTTAATGTTGATGGCTCATCTTTCAATGTCATTTACAAACTACATGCTGCAGGTGTCCTTCCTTTGTTAACATCTTTAAATAATTTACTATACACTGTGGGTACATCACAGTTTTCCATTCACACATCATATATTAACAGTAAATTTCTTTTCATATTCTTTCAGTTTTTCTATATGATAAGGTTTTCATATCAGTTTTTGATTTCCAAAAGGAATTTAAAAATAAAGCAAAGCAGCACAAAATATCTGCAGACTTATCGTGTCAGAAGCTCTAATTACATAAATCTCTTTGCTTAATTGGCCTCATTATTTTAAAATAGAGGCTGTGCCCATAAAGGCGACTTCTGTTTTTCATTACCCAATACTGCATTGACAATGGAACTAAACAGAACATTGTATTCAAAATGGAACCATAAATGTTTTTAATTACAGTAATCTGATTTTTCAAATGTATATCCTCTATAATTATGGCCAAATATTCTTAGTGACATTACATATAAGTTAATTGTAGGAAACTTTGTTCCTCCTAATGTTTTCAAATAATATAATTTTACTCTGCCAACACCAACCAAATGCCCTTTTACCCTTAGAAGGATTCATCATGCCTCATTTTATGATTTTCAGGTCTCACTAGTATGCTTTTTATTTATAAATCACCACATTTTAAAAATACTTCTGATATGATTGTAGAATAATTTGTTATGTGAACCATTTTAATAACACTGACATCTCCAGGCATTAGTCCTCCATCATTTTTATTGTGCAACATGCTATCAATAGAATTGCTGAGCAGCATTTCATTACTTCAGCAGCATTCTCTGACCCACCAAGTCCTGTGCTTAGTATGATAGCTACGGAGGAAAACACAGCATGGTCCTTGCCCTTAGTGAGCACACAGAAAGGAGAGAAAAGTGAATGGTAACATCAGGGCATGCTTCGATTGTTCTGAGAGAAGTACATGGGAGAATACCCAGAAGACACTCCTAACCCCAAGTGGAACTGGGCTACAGGGCACAATACCCATAAGGATTTTAGATTAATTGTTCTCCAAAAAGCTGTTTTCCTGAAGCCCTGGAGTCCAGGAACAAGTCAAACAAGTGCGGGTTGTGAGGAGCAGGAAATCTGATTTCCCAGAAGAGGGAGCAGAACGTTCAAAGGCTCAGAGAAAGGGAGACCAAAGTGTGTGTAAGTTACTTCAAGTAGTTCAGCATAGGCTGGTGAGGTGGAGTAGGCAAAAGTTAGATAACTAAGGAACTTCTTTTACTCATGTATCCATTCATTCATTTAACAAATGACTATTGTTTGCCACTTTGTATCAGGCTCTGGGGATTCAGACAGTGATCCATGACGTCATGGAATATCCACTCTAGTATTCACGGAATCCACAAAAAACAAAGTAAAAGTAAAATTAGCAGAATACATAAAAGAGAAAGAGGCAATAGAGAAAAAATTAAAAGAAGAAAACTATTAAGGGAATCTCATCAGGTGATTACAATTTTAAATAGGAAGCTTAATATTATCTGAGGAAGCGTGGCTTATTTTATCTGAAGGAAGAGAATCCTGGACAAAAAGAAACACCCCATCAAGGACCTAAGTTGGGTGTGTCTGGTATGATCAAGGAACAGAAAGAGGTTATTGTGGCTGGAGCAGAATGGGTGTGGGATGAGTAGTGGGTGGTGAAGTGATAAGGCCACGGTAAGAGTCGTATCAAGATGTGACTTTTGTTTTACAGAAACAGTTTCTACATTAAGAATACATCAAAAGGAAACAAAGGCAGAAATAGCAGGAGTAACTAATTAGGAGGCTACTGCAGTACTCCAGGTATGAGAAGGTGGCTTGTACCACTGTGGTAGCATTGAGAAGTGATTGTGTGCCAGGTTTATCAGGACGGTAGAAATGATAGAATTTTCTAAGGGATTTGTATATGCTGCAGAAAAGTAAAGAATGGTTCCAAAGCCTTTGGGCCAAGCAGCTTTTCGGATGTATTGTTATCAGCTGAAATGTGGAAGGCTATGAGTAGAGCAGGGTCTGAAGGAAGGATCAAGTTTTCATTCACTGAGATGTGGAAGAGCACTAAAAAACCTAATTGGAACAAGGTAAGACTGAAATGTCTTGAATATCAAAGTAGAAAAGTTGAACATGCAGTTGCAATTTGGGGAAATGGGAACACACTGGTTTCCTGTGGTCACTGTGCTAAACAGAGGTAAAAAGCATAATAAGACTAGTCCTGACAGTCTCAAAGCAGAGTGGAAAATAAAAGAAAACCTCTATTTCTTTATATATAATGTGAGAATAATAAGATGAAGTATATACTTAAGAAACTAACACATGTAAGAAACTAGTCTACTGGCAGCAATAGCAGGATCTCCAAAACAAACGGTCTTTTCACAGATTAAAAATTCCATAAGGGTACTAAATGTTCCTATGCATTTTTATACCTTCACTAATAGCAATGTGACTGGGACATGCTAAGGACTCAATAAAGATATCATGACATATTCATAATTATATTTCATTAAATATATTATTTAATGAAGAATTATCACAGATTATTACATGATAAAACTTCACGTACTCATCTTTAACAATAAATAAAAACAGACATCTTTAAATAAATACAAACCTTAAACAAATACAGAATCATGTTTACTACCTGAACAAGCTGAGGGGTAACCAATTCATTTAAATGCATATTATGAGCTCACTTTCCATCTTATTTTGATCTTTTCATTTTTTAATTTTCTTAGGGCAGACTTTTACATGAAGAAATAATTGTATGGACATTAGTCATCAAATTTAAGTTTTTGGTTTTGAAAATTATTATAAATTCAGTAGGCTGGACAAGGGTACTGGATGATTATGAGATAAATATTATGCATGCAATTACACACCCAGTACCTCTCTCCACTGTTTCTAGCAAAGGGCGGAGCCTAAAAAGAAAAATCCACAAATGACTAGAAATACAATTTAATAAGAGCAACACAATTATGAGAACAAAATAAGTCAATAAACCAATGTCATTTAACTCAAATAAGATAAAGAACTGCACAGTTAAAACTGGGTCTTGAGATAGATATCCTTCCCAATATGATGGAGTGTTTCCACTGAAGGTTAATAACTACTTATTATTATGAAAATATAAAACTGCCATGCACTAGAGTAAATCTTTTGGGAGTATCTGAAAATCAAGAACAGAAAGGCATTCAGGTCTTTAAAGAGCCTGACCCATTTTTAAACAACTTCTTAATGCACTCTGGCAAGCAATAAAATTGCATGTCTTACGGTCCAATATTAGCATCAGACAAACAGAAAAGTAATAAAAGATACTTACAAACAACCTACAAGAATTTTATTTATGTAGTGCTTGTAAACCAGATAGATCAGTTTAATTAGTGACAAACACCTAAAACATCCTTAAAAATTAAGCTCTAAACAACGATCTTTAAATTTAAAATGTGAAACAATTCAAAATAATATTGTAGAAGGTCAGAAAAAGGTACCTTACCATTCATTTCCTTGTGAAGGGTTTTCTAGTAGTACTCGGATTATGTATAATAAGCAGCTTAGTAATTTGAGAGAAAAATTGAACAGGCGTATCCTTAGACCTTTAAACAAACAATAAAAGTTTGATTTTCATTTGAACTTAGTTCACCGAAGACTAAAAAGAATTGTCAAAAATATCAACTTTAAATACAGCACTTAAATTGTATTTAGAAGCTACACTACTATAACTGTCTAAACTCTCTGAAGTTCTTGATAGCTGAATTTTAATTACCTGAACATTGAAACAAAAAACGAGTTTGACAGAATACTTGAACTGCAAATGAGAGTGCATATTTTATATCAAGAGTAAATCTAGATTTGAACATTAAGAAGCCATGAAATTTATGTTCAATCAAGGTTGATTCGAGTATGCTTGTAAGTTTAGACATTTTATATATCCCTAAAATTTGGGATAAAGTTTAACTGGTTAGTAAATTTAGCTGTTTAAAAAACTCACGAGCCAAATTATAAAACTTGCAACTTCATGGAATCTTATAGATTTGATTACTAAAAACATAATTATATTTGTATGGTTCTATGTTATATATTTAATATTAACTCTATAATTATAATACATACCAAATACATAATTATATATCACTTATTCATTATATAATAATATACATTATCTAATTACATAAATATAGAGAACTCATAATAGCATACACTGGAAAACACACAATCAGTCTCTCCATCTCTCTCTCCCTCACATACACACACATACATTGAAAGTTCAATAAATTAAATTCTATCTTTAACTACATAAAATATCCATGAAATCCTAAACTTTTGTGGGAATTAAAACTGCCATGTATGTATATTTTAAACTGTGTAAGTCACAATTATTCAGCCTGTAATATTTAATGATGATAAAGAAGAATCTATTTAAGAATAAGCAAAATATGCATAAATTAATATGAGCATTATCTTTCCTGTAATTACCTTGTGATACCTGATTCATGCATTATGAATAAAATTTTTGATAAAGGCCTTCCTATAATTATTACTTAATAAAATCTAGAAATGAAATGTCACTTTTTTTGTCCTACTTCACTGTTGCAAGTGTACTTGTGGTAACATTTCTTACAAGTAAAAAGGTTAATGCTTATTAATTGTGAAATTTCTTCTAGGTTTTCCTATTAAAATGCTGAGTACATTTTATGGGTTTGCTTTCTTATAAAATCGTTTAAATTATTAATGAAATTGTGCTGGTTTTATAGAAATGGGCCACCTCAAATGACCGCTAAGTTGCAGCTGACTACAGGTGAAGTATTCAAACAATGCATCTACCTTTCCCGGCCTGGAAAGACAGGACTGTTAGTATTGAAGGCAGGGAAACCTATTTAGATGCTGTGAGCCCTTTCGGTAATATCTATTTATGAGGCTTCTTTAAATATTCCAAACAACCATCTTAGAAAAGCATTAGTTACTAACAGTCTTAACCTTGAGGCCAGCCTGTCACTAGGACTACCTGAGCAGTATGCCTTAAATACTGAAATATTCCTTATCAGTATTTGGATAACGTCCCACAAGTCAAGCTTCTCTCTTTGAGTCCTACCTACAGGGGCACAACTTAATTTTGACAAGAGGATTTGGAGGTCAAAATTCACAGAGCTTAACCTCTATACCAACTAATGCAGATCTCTCCATTTCTTGTTGACACTTTTAAGCAATAACCATGAAAAAAACTGCATATTGGCTTATAACATATATGGCATTATGGGAAGCAACAAGTGTCAATGGCACTTTAATCCTGAATGGGCTCAGGAGGGCAGTGACTATGCCAATTTTGTCTTCTGGAAGTTCCACTTTGTTACTCTTTTACATTTGTGTGATTTAAAAAATCACTGGGATGTTAAACTCTGGGATCTACCCTACACTTCCTGGCTCAAAATCTCCAGGCTAAGAAAGACAGGAATCTGTATATTTCAGTGCAACCTAGATGTTTCTTATTATTTGGAATAATTAGGAAATATTAAACGCTTCCTTCCCTAAATCAGACAATTATTTCCCATTGTGGTTTGTCGGAACTTTCTGAAAATATAATATTTAGAGTCAAAATGTAGGGACCCTCATTTAAATTATTTTCATCAGTGTCTCTACTAACCCACATAGTCCACTCAGAGACAACTTATTGACATGGAACTTGGAGAACTGATGATGTTCAAGAGGCATTAATATCATAACCGATCTGTCTACCTAAAAAGTATTTTGCATAAGATTACGCAGCTCAAATATTTTGAAGTAAATATATCTACAAACAAAGAGGGGAATGAAATAAATAACTTACTTGATCTCTGGTTTTTTATGAAAAATAATTTTAGCCTCTCTTTAAATGTGTTTTCATTCATATAGAATTCAACTTGTACCCTGCAAACAGAAAACAAAAACATCTAACTGTATGCAGTCATATATTTATTTTTATGAAGATCAACAAATATAAAATGGTCTGTAGTTCTCTAATTAACTTAAAGAATAATATATTTTTAAATGCATTATTTGATTTAATGCATTACATGTTTTAATGAATTACCTGTCGTGGAAGATGAGAATTGAGTAAAGTGCTGATTTAGAGAGAAGCAGTTACTTTCCACTTTTAAAGACACAGTCATTTCAAATATTATACACAGTCAATTCAGCTATTTGTATTAATGAATGTAATGAGTGGTACAGATTTTTCAAAACAACAATAAAGCAAACATCTTGACTACGTGTCTTTGAAATGGTTTTGAACCAGTGTTTTCCCCATTTTTCCCCGTTTTAAGAATCAACTGATGCTTGAAAAATTCTGTTTGGGCACCACTGCACCAATCTACTAAATTAGAACCTAAAAGAGCAGGGCCTAATAACCAATTCTTAAGCCCATGCACTATGCCTGCAGTCTATTTAGAACACCACACCCTGTAACACTTTACCTTCTTATTTATGGATCAACCAAGAAGTAGTAGTGCCAAATAGAGCTGTTAAAGTTATCACAGACAGATGATAAAGCAGCAACTCAATTACTAGACTGCACATGATATATTTAATCCACTATACAATAATATTAACTGTCGAAAATAATAGCATCAATTTAATAAACACTCTAAATTCTAGCAAACTGTTTCCCATGTGATAAGGCATAATATTTTCAAAATACTTAGTGAAAAGAGAAATCTTATTCAGTGCAACATAATTTCTAAATAGTACTCAATTTCCTTAATTGGTCTCAAATAAATGTATTATAAGTTAGAATTCCAAAAACAGCTAAGAAAGGACTTTAATGTTTACACAGAAACAAAGATTTAATTTTATTTTTCCTAATATGAAAATGTAATTTACATAAGCCAGAGAGGGATTCGGGGTCTTTTTTGTGTGTGTGGCGAGGGGGGGGGGGGGGGGGGGACGGAGGCGCTTATTTGTTTTTTATTTTTTTTTTCAGGAGTATATACCTAGGAGAAAAAAAAAACTGACATTATAAAGCTGCTCAAGTATTCGAGAAATATTTCACTACTATATTATCTTATAACCTCTCTATTACCCTGCTTATTCAAGGAAACCCATAAATAGTTTAAAAGCAGTCTCTTGTGTCACAAAAGCAACCGGGTATTTTTCAAATTAATTACGAACCAAGTTATATGTGTTGTATCTTCTAAAAGACTTGAGTGTTCTTTTCTATTTTCTCTCTAAAGAATGTATTTCTGGGGCTGATCGCAGTGGCCCACGCCTGTAATCCCAGCACTTTGGGAGGCTGAGGCAGGTTGATCACAAAGTCAAGAGTTCAAGATCAGCCTGGCCAAGAAGGTGAAACCCTGTCTCTATTATAAATACAAAAAATTAGCCGGGCATGGTAGACTGCACCTGAAATCCCAGCTACTTGGGAGGCTGATGAGGAGAACTGCATCAACCCCGGAGATGGAGACTGCAGTGAGACAAGATCGTATCACTGCACTCCAGCCTGGGCAACCAAGTGAGACTCTGTCTCCAAAAAAAAAAAAAAGAGAGAATATATTTCTATTTTTATTTTCCATTTTTATTTCCCTGTTAATATATTCTCACTTAGTTTTTTCTTCACCTTATATATCAGATAAAATTGTTTAAAAGTAAACAAGATTCTCTTTACTTGATAACTTCTCCAGAAAGAAGCCACTAAAATGGCAATGATATCTTTCAGCAGAGCATTTCCACCTGCATGCCCATGTACATGCACACACATCTACAAATCTATATGCATAAAAATGCTGCAAAAGTTCATGCACACACTTATAGAAACAAAACTTCCTTGATGTCTTGGAAATCCATTACTGGACATGTTTCCCTTATTTATCAAATGAAAAGTCAGTTCATTTTAAATATAGTAACTGTAAATACCAAGAACAAGCTAAAATAATTAAAATTTGTTTATGGATACATAGCAAATTTGAGAGGACATATCGCTATCAAACAAATAATTCAGCAAAGGCCATGCAGATTTGCTTCCTAGAATTATCAAATTTCTAAGAATGAGTCCATTTTTCAGATAATATTGGTGCTCAGTACTGGGTATAGAAGAGAGGAGCATTTTTTCACTACAGTGAGATCATCTAAAGCCTTAACTAAAATAATGAGGAGTCTGGAAAGCATATCATGTGTAGAAAGGTAGAAGAAACTAGAAAGAATTCATAAATATGAAGTTAGGAGTCACAGTTGTCTTTAAATATTACAGTGACCAACATTATTAGAATTGAATGTCATATAATGTATTTCCCTAATAAATGAAACTAATAATAGATAAATATACAAATTATGAATGAGAATTACCCAACTTCGGGATGGTCATCAATGTGGAGAGCTCTCCAGTACCTATAAATGTGCTAAAGGCTGGACAACAGCTTGCAAGGAAAGACAATTTTGCATGCTGTGAAGTCTGTCATTTAAAAATTTCCTAATCCCAATCTAATTATAAAAGTACGTGAAGTAAAACTGTTAATCTTGTGATCTCTCTGAGTCAATATAATCATTGAGGAACACAGACTATATAAAAACATGAAATTATACAAATGTTTTATAAAGCCAAAGCCAAAAGCAAGCAAAGCACTTTTTGATAACATGACTTATTTTAGGCCCAGGAAAATGTTCTTTAGCCTTACTGGTTACAATACAGTAGAGCTTCCTTTGATAATCGATTTAATGGTGTTAGTGATAGCATATACTTTTGAGACCTTCCTCAGCACCAGTTTCCTGGCACCCAGATATTCAGTTCGGTTTAGTGTTTACCCTTCCCAATACTTGTCATGATTTTAATTGATTTTAAGTATTACCACACTGTTTCCTTTTTCAAGTTTAAACGTGGTTTCATCTCCTCCCTCCATTCCTTCCTCCATCTTTTCCTTCCTTTCATCCTGCCTCCCTCTCTTCCTTTTCTTCTGACCTCCCTACCTCCGTCTCTTTATGTGAATCTACTTACATCTAGTAGACTATGTTAGCGTAGTTTTCAGTGTGCTCTTACACTACCTCCGTCTACTCTTCATGTACTCTCTCTGGGCCTTCCCCAGAATCACAGAGTTTTGAATTACGGCAAATCTGCTCTTACCAGTTTTAAAGATGTCATCTTTGTCACATACTTATACAAATGCTAAAGGTAATTTTGTTACATTTATTCAAATACAATAATAATGGTTGTATCTGATTAAAAAAAAAGATACTGGAATTCTAATCATTATTAGGTGGTGTCTTCTACTGAAATACGTTCTCACTATTTAATAAAGTTATTTTTATGTTGATCAACAATGTTTTATTTGCGTAGATCTTATATATTCTTTGTGACACTGACTTATGGCTATTTTATAATTTTGGTTGCTTTTAAAAATACTTTGTTCCAATCTTTAACTTTATGGTTTTGATATTGTAAATGGCTACCATGTTGAACTCTCTTACACGCAGTGATTTTTTTTCACATTTATTACTTGAGTTTGCTAGACAGACAATCACAGCATCTGGACATGTTCCCCAGTATGTCTACAGTAAGTCCTCACTTATGTCATCCACAGGGTGTTTGCGACTTTAAAATAAATGCTACAAGCCGGGCGCGGTGGCTCACGCTGGTCATCCCAGCACTTTGGGAGGCCGAGGCGGGTGGATCACGAGGTCGAGAGATCGAGACCATCCCGGTCAACATGGTGAAACCCCGTCTCTACTAAAAATACAAAAAAACTAGCTGGGCGTGGTGGCGCATGCCTGTAATCCCAGCTACTCAGGAGGCTGAGGCAGGAGAATTGCCTGAGCCCAGGAGGCGGAGGTTGCGGTGAGCCGAGACCGCGCCATTGCACTCCAGCCTGGGTAACAAGAGCGAAACTCCGTCTCAAAAAAAATAAATAAATAAATAAATAAAATAAAATAAAATAAAATAAATGCTACATAACAAAACCAGTTTTACCATAGGCTGATTGATGTGAACAAGAGTTAAGTTTCCACTGGCTACAAAAATGCCACCAAACTTCTAAATGAAGACCAAAACACTTCGGATAGTAAAGGTTGAAGGAACTATGAGTTATACAAACATTCAAGAAAGACTATTGAAAACAACCAAGGTTATTTACCCACTTGTTCCACTTCAGGGTGGCAGGTGGCCAGAGGCATCCTAGAAGCTCAAGGAGCCAGGCAGAACCCCACCCAGACAGGATGCCATCACATTCCAAGACACACTCAAACACCAAGAGTCATGCTAGGATCACTTAGACACACTAATTCACCCAACTTGCGTATCTTTGGCATATGGGAGGAAACTGCAGTAACTGAAGAAAACCCACACAGATGTGGATAGAATGTGCAAACTCCACACAGTCACCCCAATTAGGAATGGAATTTTGTTTCTCATCAATTTTATAACAAAACAATGTTGAATGAAATGGCATTATTTGAGGAACTACTGTATTTACACTTCATTGTTTTTGCCTTACTTCATTGACTAGCACTTTTGGGGGAAAAAAGTCAAATAATTGTGGTATTCCTTTCTTGTAAGAGGATGTTATTAATTACACTTGGCTTTTTGTATCCATTAAGTTCCACATCCATGTATTCAGCCAGCAGCGTACAGGAAATATTTGGGAAAAACAAAAAACAACATCTGTACTGAACATGTACAGATTTGTTTTTCTTGTCATTATTCCCAAGGCAATATACTATAACAACTATTTACACAACTTTGATATTTTATTACGTATTATAAGTCATCTAGAGATAAAGTATGTTGGAGGATGTGCATAGATTATTATGCAAATCTCATGCCATTTTATGTGAGGGACTTGAGCACTGTGGATTTTTGGTTTCCACAGAAGTCCTGAAACCAATCCCCAAGAATACTGAGGAATAATTGTATTTTGGTGATCTTGGGATTCCTTAGATATTTACAC